TTTGGTTTGTTTGGTTTTGGGGGGTTATTTGGGGAGGGCTGGGGGGTGTGGCTTGGTTTCTTCTGGAAGCTATTTAATGCTACCTGCTTTAACTGTAATCTCTTCTAGATACTGAAATTATGAAGATTTGGGAAAAAAAGTACCTGGAGAAAAGAGTGATACTCATGGCAGGCTAACACAACACATGAGCAGATGGGGAGTTATTTAGATGTGTGGGTTTCTTCCTCTCATTAAAACCTACAATTTGATTTCAAAAGTTACTGCAAGCCATCGTGTTGATGTCACAGCAACTCAGTCAATCACAATACAATTGATTTTGGGTAATTTTGAAACTGTAATTTCATTCGGTATAGAAAGCACTAAATGTTCTGCTTTTTATTGTTTAGCTGGGGAGGTAAGGCACCTACCAGGTGCACTTCTGAGGAAAGTGGTGGGCTGACATCTTGCTTTTTCAGTGAGGGCTTTTATAGAAACGTTCTGTTTCAGACAGCACCATTCAAGATTACTGCTCTGCCATGGATAGATATTACTCCTTCCCTGTGGTAAAACAAAATATTGAGGAAAGCTATTGAGGTTGTTTGCACTTTCTTTTTTTCTTGCATGGCTTTGAAGCATCAAGTAGGAGTATTTTTGATTGTAGATGGTGCACAGTGCTCAGCACGAACACCAGCCTTCATTGCAGAGCGCCGTGCTCTGGCTCGAGCCCAGCTGCCATGGGAAGGACAATGATGTCCTGTAATGATATCTCTCTCCAGCTTTCCCAGTGGCAGCAGCAGGATCCTGCAACTGTGCAGGGAGCTGCATTACAGAATTGATCCAGCTTCTCCAAACCTCCCTGGCACATATGCCCTTGTTTCTTCAGCCGGATCAATTTTCCTGAGCACAGCGTTCCTGCCTGTGAGGGCTGAGCCAAGAACGTGCAGGCAGCCACATACGGCGGGGTGGGGGCTCCTCTCTGGGCACCAGAGGGAAAGGTTTTCCCTGGATACCCGATTCAGCAAAAAGGAGGAGGTTTGAGGAACAGCAGCTTGCTGACCTGTAGTGTAAGCTCAGTAACCTTTTCTTGGCAAGCTCCAGGAATCCTGTCCCAATATACTGTTGGATCCGGTAGCGTGGTCCCAACAGTGGAGTGAGGGTGTTGTGCTTGAGGCAGCAGAAGGGATGTCCTGAAGTGAACTGTGTTGCTGAAGCCAGCTAATGGGGAATTTGGGTTTCACCACGTGTGCACACACCTGTAGGTCAGGGTTCCTCCTGGAAACTGCAGCACCTGGAAACAAGTGAGCAGCTTGGCAACAGCCAAGTGGATGATTTGGAGAAAAGATGGCAGGAAATGCTGAGTGGGATGTCTGGTAAAGACAAGGTCGTCAGCAGCTGGTCTGTTCTCGGGGTTTTCAGGTCCTAAACTTGTAATTGTTGTGTAAGAAACCTCAAAAAAACCCAACCAAAGCCCACAACAATTCTCCCCAAAGCCCACAAAGAATTAAAATAACACTCGTCACCCCAGCTCTGGTCAATGCAGGTACTCATATCTGCTCAAGGACAGGGAAAAGTCTGCTAAAATCCTTTGCAGTTTCTACCAACTGCTACAGTTGCTGAACAAAATATTCTTCACCTTCTTACTAGTTTGTATATGAGGCTGGAAAAAATTTTGAGAAATTAACCAAATTGTAATCTTTCCTACCAGACCACCAGGGATACAGAATGTCAGACTGAAATCTAGAGATACTTTTGAATAAGGAGGCAACAAAGAAAATGTGTATGCAGAAAGATCATTTGATTCACGTTTACGGACTGTACATTTCTAATGGCTGTGACTGAGAGGCCCCAGACAAGGATGAGTTGCTTTTTGTAGTAGGATATCAGACAACATTACGCAATAATTTAAAGTGAAGTTGTGCCAAATGTTTCCCTCCACATAACTCTGGGAATTTGGCCTAGCAGAACAGGCAAAAGCTGTACAAAATTATACCTATGCTCCTGACAAAATAAGCTGCAGTGGCTCCTAAATCACATGAATTATCTGTCCCTCTGGCTTGTCTCTCATAGGTTGCAGACAAATGTTCTGCTCTGACTCCCACTACACTACTCAGACAAAAATCATCGGGGCTGCCTTAAAGGACAGTGGCACAGAGGAATTGGTGCCAGCACTAGCTCACAAGGTCCCTCAGGGTGTTTGCCCTGGCTGTGTCCCACCTGCAGCTCGGGCAGGTGAGATGCAGAATTGCTCTGAGGTGTAATTCCAGGTGTGCAAATGCCTGCAGCTCCAGCCAGCCACAGCTTCTCGGAGCTTAAACAGGGAACAGTATCTCGGCTTAAGGAGAAATTGGACTCACTCAGACAGAGTCATATGCTCTTGAACCACTGTTAAACTGTTCTGCCAGCAACATAAACTAAGCCAGCTGACTTCTGCCTGCAGTTCATTAGGAAATGCGTGCAGAAATTGGTCTGTCAGCAGAGCTGTGAGGAGGAGGCCTCCAGCAGTGGGGCAGGGAACCCTTCCATACAGATTTGGGTTTGTTAAGTAAAAAACATCAGTAACAAAGCTAACATAAAAATGGGATAGGCGGAAATGCTTTCATTAAAAATACTACACAGATGGCAACAGTAAAGACAGAGGCATGTGCAAAAGGTGAGGACAACTTAAAATTATGTTTTTGATTCCTTAAATAAGGAACCAGACTCCTGTTTCCCTTCCTGCTTTGGCGAAATCTGAGATCTAGCTAGATACAGAAAATAAAGCTATCATGGTTCTCAAACTGTGTATTTCCAACTGTGCATTTTGCAACAATGGAAACAAAATTGGTTAGTTTATCTGAAGAGCACTGTGATTTAACAACTGGAATCCAGATATGTTGCACAGATTTTTGTAAGTGCAGTCTTCAGTAGGTTTTTGTTGTTGGTTTTTGGTATTTTTTTAAGTGACTCAATTACTTCAGCCTCCTCTGAGCTTCTTTAACTGTCTTCCATTGAACTTCTGCTACTACTTAGTATAGACTATTTCAGTATCTGATGGTTTAGTACATGTGCTGCTTCTTGCAGAACACAATGTTCTGCTGCTTTTGAGGTCTAGCTCCTTAACTAACCCTGCCTGTAAAATTGCATCCTTATTCCACTGGCCCAGTGGTGTTACATGTGGAATCTGTCTCTGAAATTCCTGTGGAACAGTGCGAATTCTGCCTCTTGAGAAGACGTGCAAAGCCCAGGTACTTTGTTGTGTTGCAGGGAATGTTGATTCTCTGCAGTTTTGTGTTACAGCATCTTTGCTTCTGTTGTGCTAAGTGAATTCTGTAGATTTAAGTGTTTTTCCTGATGGATGCAGAGCAGCAGAGGGATGAGTTGCTCACTGCACCATTCTGAACAAGCCTTTGCATACAGCCTAGCCAACAGCAGGTATGCTTCGTGGGCCAGGCAGCCACAGGTGAATTTAACTGAACATTTACTATTTCTTAAGTAATGGAGAAAATTGTAGGGTCCTATAATGGATAACTCAGCATCACATTTTCCAATTATTCTTTCATATATTCAACCATATTGTTTAGTTTTCTAGCTTTTGTTGTACATGGAGGCAATAAATAGAAGTCTAGATAAAACATTAATAAAAGGAACATATGACAAAATTCTGTAAATCTCCTGTGTTACACAAGTGTGTAAATTATGCCTCAGAATTTTTGCCTTCAGCTCAGCAAAGCTGGACTTTGTCCAGGTCTGTCCAGCCACATGCCAGGAATTGCCCAAAGGAGTTATGGCTGTCCCATCCCTGGCAGTGTCCCAGGCCAGGCTGGCCAGGGCTTGGAGCAGCCTGGGACAGTGGAAGGTGTCCCTGCCCATGGCAGGGGGTGAAGCTGGATGAGCTTTAAGATCCAACCCCAAATGCTCTATGATTAACCACTCAAAGCATCAGAGCATTTTTCCCTTTCATCCTCTCCCATTCAAACCTTGCAGTGGCCAGGTGTGCTGACTGCAGCAGGCCAGCTGCGTTTGGTCACAGAAAATGGATTGTGCATGTTTTGTTTGAAACAAAACAAGGTGAAATACCACCTGACTCACTTGATCCAAGGTGATGTGGGTGACTTCCTTTCCTACCCTTTTATGTCAACTTATCAACTTCTAAAACTTTTTTTTTTTTAATCTGCTTGTTTCAATGTTTTTTCTAAGTGTTCCGAAATTTTATTTCCTCTTGGATTTTCTAAGAATATTCCAAGAATGGAGGGGGAGTAGTTCCCTTGTGATGTGCAGATCCTCAGAAAGTAGATAAGCTATTCCCTGCCCCTGTAGTGTGACCAAGCAGTCCATGAAGCTGATTGTTTTAAGTGTTACTCAAATTGATCTTCCTACTTTGGATTAAGTTTTACTTAATGAGAAAGTAATGAGATTATCATAGACAAAAAGGACTATGTCTCTTTTGGGAACATACCATTTCTGAGACTTGACTTTATTTCAAAGAGAGCTGTAATTCTTTCTTTAGGGGAATGTAAATTTAAATTATAATCAAACAATGGGATTTTTCTAGCAATTGTTTTGACACCGAATGACAGAAGTATTATACTGTACATTTTCTTCCTGGGGAAAGGATTGACTGCTGCAAGATTAACACATTCTGGATGGGTGCCATTTTCAGATAGTTCGTTCAACTAGAAGAGAAAGGATCTGATTAAAGGATCAAGCTCATTATTTGTTTGTTGTTTGTACTCCACACCCTACAATGGGAGTGTTCTTTACCTCTTTTCCCTAACAATAATTAGGATCAGAGGGTTCAACAACTGCATATTAATATTCTTTTTCTTTAAATGAAAACATGCAGAAGCTAAGCAATTAACATTTCCATTACACTTTAAAATCTTTTTTAAAGGCTTCCACAAAATATTTAAGACCAAGCCAGATATTCAAAAGAGAGCACTGAGAATAAGGGACTCTGAGTTTGCAGATTTTTTCTGAATTCGTATTTTTTAGGAACATCTGCTCTAAAGTATAATCCAAGTTCCTGTTGATGTTGTGTTCCAGGTTTTCAGTAAGTCTGGTCCAGCTCTGTGTTTTCAGTGGTGTACCCCAGCAGCACATCAGGTGAGCCATGGAGAGGACTGTAACACCTGCTGTCCCAGGACTCCTCACAAACCCCAGGAGCACCTGCTGTACTGGCACTGCTGATGCTATTAAACTCTGTTTTGATTCACTGTATTGATTTTTACATTTAATAATGCGAGTGATTTAAAACATGCACAACAAATTATGTTTCTAAAGGCATGTCTGGGTTGTTAAGCACTGTGCCTCCCTGCCAAAAATCCATCTGCCCTTTGCTTGACGAGCAGCACTTTAGCTGGGAGGAAAAAAATGGCACTGCTGACCCAGATCTGCAAAGATTTATGTATGCAAACAACTTGTTGAATCAAGACAGTGGAATTAGGCTCTTTTAAAATCACTGGTTAAGCTCGCTGGGTGCACTCACTTGTGGAACTGGGGCCTGGACTGGACCTGACGCAACCCCAGGAGCAGTCTGTGGCAGGCACCAGGCTTTGCTTCCTCCAGGAATGCTGACTGACACTGGGGAATTTAATTTCTATTTAAATGAGAGGAAGGAGGATCTTGCCTCAATATTGGCTATTCCCATATGTAAGGATAAACATAGGTCATATGCCTCAGATACCAGCAAAGGGCATACATTGAGAATGCACTGAAGAGTTTGGTTGAATAGGAGATGAAATCTTTTAAGAGATCATATTTTTATTGCCTAAAAGAGTTCAGTGAATAGTGAAATACTAAATTGCCAAAGGAGCAGAAAAATAGAATTCATAAACCTTGTGCTTTTTTTAGCTGTGTTTGGCTGTAGGCAGAGCTGACTTGGTATTCTTGGGGGAGAGATTTCTATGTACGGGGACTTCTGCTTGGTGGCTGGTTGATCTTTTACACTTTTTCTTTCTAAAGAGGCATCAAGACTCCCAGCCTAGAGTCTTCAGTGAAGTTTGAGCAAAGCTTTGAGGCAGGGTACTGGAATTTGGGCTTAGATGGACTTTTATAGTATTGGAGAGGTTTCTAGATATATCTGCATTGAAGCAGAAATAAATTTAAGTGGCAGTGGTTTTATCATTTTGATTATTACATTTGCAAGTTACTGAAGATAGAATGCAGGTTTATATGAATCTTGTCCTTTTACAAAACCATCTTAGCATTCACTTTCAGTGTTTTACTGAGGTCATAAGGTTGAATAACAGAAAATAATGTCTGTGAAAGGCTGAGATCAAATACAAATGTATGACATCGTTGTGGAAGAGAGAAACAGATTGGCTAGAAGGAAAGGACTTGATTTGGTTCATCAAATACATAGCCCTAAATTTACAGAATATGGCCAGTAATTTATTTTTTTTTTTTTTATCAGTTCTGTTCTCAAGATGTATTTTCTTGGTTTCTTTTGAAAGGAGATGAAGGTAAAGTCAATATGTGTGAAGTTCTATTCAAATGCTGATGTTAAATCAGAAAAATATCATTAGAAAGAAGATATTAACAATTTGCCAAATGAACAAATAAATAACCCAGAGGGGTAGCTCTGCTGCTGCTAATCTTACTAGTATTCATAGTTATTTTTCAAAAAGGACAGCATGTCTTGTGGTAGAAGCTTGTCATTTAAAGCCGGCCAGATGGACCCAGATTAGGATGATGGCTCCCAAAATGTGTAATACAGGAGAATGACGCTGATGTGGCAGCTGCGCAGGGAACAGTAATAAAAGGTTTTAATAGAGAGAAGTGGCTGTGATGGATTCAATCTTCTTAGAGCTTTTGAGTACTCCCAATTTTCCATCAATGTTATTTTTGCCTTCATTATATGTTGTAGATGAGAGTCACCATAGTGCTCCCTTCCCAAGTTTATCAGTAGAAGCAGTGGTCAGAAACCAAAGGCAGCAGGAGGAGGAAGACTGACTGTCTATAGCAGAGGAGTGGATGCAGAACGTAAAACAGTTCCCAGGAGAGTACACTGTGAACTGTCTTCTGCTGCAGTCTCACCTTTTCATTTGACTGACATTAATAGATCTCTGTCAGAGTAGTCCCCTTTACATTTCTACTGCTGCTTTTCCTTCCCACCTTCCTGTTGCATTGTGCCATTTTTGGAATTTGTAAGGACGAGCTAGTTCATCCAGAACAGTGAGGAAGTGACTCCACAAATAAATAAATTTTGCTGGTCTACTATTTGCTATGTTGCTGCTTGCTGTGGGACCAGGCAAATGTCAAAGGTACGACTGGAGATGGAGTTTTGTGTGTATGAAGTATTGGCACAGTATGGCTGGCTTTGAGGCAGAGTGTTTGTGGGGAGCCTTCCCTTTCTGGTGTGACTCAGCTGTTGATTCAGTTCATCTGAAACACCTCAGGTGGATCTATTGCTTTCATTTCTATGCAAGACCTGGGATGACACCAATGCATGCCTAATTGAAAGTAGGGGTTTGACACGTAAGATTTTTTTTTTACTGCGTTGTGTAACTTACTGCATCTGAAACTTCCCATTTGACCCATGATGATGTGGGTACTGGATAAATGCTGCTCACCCAGAGCTGAGCCACTGCTGCCTGAGCAGCTGACCTGCTTTCACAGGTGTTACTACAGAAGGGGTTAAAGCGACCTAGTCTCCAAATATAAGAAAAGATCTTTTCAGGCTTAATTTCTATAAAGTAGGAATGCCTCAAAACCTGATCTTGCATTTGGATCAGGGACTCGTATTTTGAAAAGCACAAAGCAAAGAATAGATGAGCTGTGTCACAGCATTACAGATTCATCAAGGAAATAGTATTTGGTTTTCTTGGCTGCTAAATGGTATGAGGCACATGAAATTTCTCCTAAAGTGAAAGATAAATTTGAGGAATTTCTGTCTAAATTACATTTTTAGTGAGATGTACCTCTTTTCAGAAAACAATAGATATTTTTGAAAAGTGTTTTTAGATTGCATCCACAATGTTGTTATTCTCAAAACATATGTTTGTTTCTCAACAGGTATAAAAAATACATAAAAAATAAAAATGGGTGAACTGGAGCATGGAACATTGTTTTCAGATCATAGGATTAGTGGTGGAGGTATGTATGCTATCAGGTTTAATTGCTTTCTCGACTGTTTATGAAACATTCTGCAATTAATAGCCTCATATAGGAGCTGCTATAGCACTCTGGTTATGGTTTGAGTAGGAAGGGACCTCAGAGCCCACCCAGCCCCACCCTTGCCATGGCAGGGACAGCTCCCACTGTCCCAGGCTGCTCCAGCCCCAGTGTCCAGCCTGGCCTTGGGCACTGCCAGGGATCCAGGGACAGCCACAGCTGCTCTGGGCACCTGTGCCAGGGCCTGCCCACCCTGCCAGGAACAATTCCTTCTTTCTTCTAGTTCCTGTCTGTATTTACCCTCCTTCCAGGTTGCAGCTGTTGCCCCTCATGCTGTGACAGGCAGGGTAAAGAGCCTTTCTGTTTCCCATATAAACCCCCTTTACCTACTGAGAGGCCACAGTAAAGTTTTCCTGGAGTCTCCTCTAGCCAAACATCCCAGCCTCTCTCAGCCTGTCTTCACAGCAGAAATGTTCCAGCCCTCTGACCCTCTCCATGGTGTCTGGCCAGGGTTCTGTGCCGGGTGCTGGAGCTGGGTGTTATTCTCTGCAGGTCCGGGGGCAGAGCAGAGGGGGCAGAACGCCTTCCCTGGCACCTGCCCAGGCTGGCTTTCTGAGCTCCAGGGGCAGCTTGCCCCTTCGTGCCCAGTTTTTTCCCCACAGGGTTCCCAGGTTGCTGTCCCCAGTCTGTGCCTGTCCCAGGGCACTGCCTGGCAGGGGATTTGGAGAAGCCCTTCCCCAGCAAGGCATCGGCATCGGCTGGAGACGCTGCCGGGCCACGCGGCAGATGGAGAGCCTGGGGGAGGCTTGTGAGATGGCTCTGCAGGATTTATCTTACCTTCTACCCCTCTCTAAAACCACGTCAGGCACAGCACCTCCAGCCACGGGGCTTAGTAGGGAATGCAGAAACATAATGGGCAATTTCTCTGCTAAAGCAGAGGTTGTAAGGAGATGCCCATTCCTTATCCCTGTAAGCCTCCTGGCTTATGTAGAATGACTGAGTATCTGTGCACGAGGCCTTCACAGTGCTAGGGCAAAAGTTCAGGTAGTTCATTTACAATTGTAATTGTACCTCAATTTTATATCTTTTAGAAAAAAGCTGCTCCTGCTTCTTAACCCATAGGTTGTGATAAACATTGAGGCAATTTTCCAATCAGTGCGAGACGGATGCATTTATTGAAACTTAGGTATTTCTGTATTAGAAGTTATTATAATGCCTGTAAATGCAGTTTAAAATGAATTAACAACTAAATTCACATGTAAGCTATACTTTTTAAATTAACTTTTGTGAACAGACAACTGGTTACTGTTTTTTATATAATTGCTACTAGTTTATGTTTGTTGCAAATTGTTATTCACCAACTAACAGTATCGGTATGAAAACTTCTGGTGTTGAAAACATTGGTTCTGATTTCTATGTGTAGAGCTTTCATTTTATGCCTTGCACTTAAATTATTTCTCAAGAATTTGAAATAACCTTATGTGTTTTATATGATAACTAGACAATTTGGTGGTTCCCACAAGAAATGCCCTTTGCAGCCAGAGGTACAAACCTGTTGACTACAAACATCTGTATGATATTGCTGCAGAGGCAAAAATGGCCTCTGCACAAATTCAGTTAAAGGTATGATTTTTATTTTATTTGTAATGCTTTTGAAATTCAGTGACCATATTTCTTGTTCCTGCCCCAAGGAACCTGAGAACAAATTGGGATCACAAATTTCTGTAACGACATTCAGCCAGAGGGGGTCAAATACAAAAGTTTATCATGGCTATACTGTGATTTGGATGTGCTAATGTCAATGTGTGGACTTTGTTCAGATCAGTGATGCAAAATACGTGTTGATTCTACTTCTTTAAAAGACAGGAAAGACTCATATTTTACTGCCTTGAGGAAATTCACCCAGACTTATTGTATAATCCTGGGGGCAGTGAAGAATTTGTGGGATTAAATGGGAATGCTGATCCAGAAAAAAAAGCCAAACAAAAAAAGCCCAGCTGGGGCAGGAGTGGGAACATGCTGGGGGATGTTTGTGGGTGTGTCAGGGGAGTGGGTGTGGTGGGTGGGTGTGTCATATAAAACACATAAGGTTATTTCAAATTCTTGAGAAATAATTTAAG